GTGAGGATATTCACTGTTGTGAGGATATTCACTGTTGTGAGGATATTCACTGTTGTGAGGATATTCACTGTTGTGGATGCTGTATTTTAAATTGCTGTCAAACTATGGACTAAAAAACTTTCCTTTTTTACAATCTGTGATTCAGTTATCATTAGGTATCCCAAAAGGGGTACTTTTGAGAGGTGCCCTATTATTTTTTCCATTTTTTAAGAGTTTATTTTGCTCACAATTCTAATTTCAACACTTATGTATGGTAACAAGGTAATCAGTCCCTCATCCTGGAGTCGATGTTATTACCTGGAGTATACCTGGAAAAGGTTGAGAAGGGTCACTGTCCCCGTGGCCTCATCTGTGACCAGCTCTCATGGCAGCACGCAGACCGAGGTACGAACCACTGCCTGGACAGGCTGTGGTTGGTACGTCGGACAGGCACCCAAAAGTCAGGTACTAACTTTAGGTGCCTGTCCAGCGCCTTCTTGAAGACAGCCAGGGGTCTATCGGTAATCCCCTTTATGCTGGGAGGCAGCTAAACAGTCCTGGGTCCCTGACACCCACCATGATGGCTATTACATATGGCTGGTCTTTAATGTCAGGAGTATCAGGGGGGCTGTCATCTAGTACACTCACCATATGCTGACTGATTTGCCTGTGACAGTCACCCAGTTGCTCTGCTATGAGCAAGGGCTTAATACTGCTCTGTCCCGTTAGGTTAAACTGGGTGGGTGCCTTGTAATCATCACCCGCTGGCTATCTGAGTCACCTGTTGTCACCCAGGAATGAGTGACTACTGCTGTCAGCTGCTTACAGTGATCTGTTGGCTAGCCGCCTCCCTCATAATCTGCCCACTGCCCACCTACTCCTGACCAGCCATATACCAACTATCTGCTGCCAGGAACCTACCACTCACCCGTACCCCTCCTTCACCTGCCACAGTGGTGAACTTACACTTGAAGCCTACATTCAGCCCATGCCAAAACTACCAACTCAGACCACTAATCACCCAACAAAAGGCTGCAGTCAGAATAACAAATTCCCACTAGAGGCAGCACACTCCACCAATATTCAAAACTCTAAACCTACTCACCATACAAAACATCCATACTTATTACTGCACCTACTACATACATAGAACACTTAACTCTGATATTAACCATTCCCTTAAACGTCTCCTTACCAACCTCAACAGAACACATGACCATAACACAAGGCACAGATCACTCTTTGATGTTCCTTGTGTCCAACTCACGCTATGCAAAAACTCAATGCACATAAAAGGCCCTAAAATCTGGAATTCATTACCTGTAAATATAAAAGAAACACTTTATAAATTCAAGTCTTTTCTCAAAAATCATTTACCCACAACTAAATAAATACTGAATAATTTTATCTTATAAATTGTATATCATAAATCTTTCTCATAATTGTATCTCATAAATGTTTAACCTGAGACCCAATCAAATAAATAACAAAAAGGCACAATACCGTGACTGGAACAATACACAAATAACACAAACTTTGTTATTTTTTTAATTACATTACCTAACAGAATACTCCATTCTACTGATTACACAGCAACTCAGTAAATGACCATATGACCTGTCTTTGTAATACTCATTTGTGCTTAATTGTTATCTGTTTACAATAATGTTTTACCACTGAATATATCATTGCTTAGTTAATCTTAAGTTAATTTTAAGCCTGCCCATAATGCTCTGCATACAAGGGGCTTTGGCATGCTGCACTTATTGTGTTCCTTTTTACTTCTCTGTATCATGTTCAAATTAATAAATAAATAAATAAATAAATAAATAAATAAATAAATAAATAAATCACAACCCCAGCTGGGACGACAAGTGTCCGAAGACTCGTGAGGACTAAGGCTCGAGAGGACTAAGGCTCGAGAGGACTAAGGCTCGAAAGGACTAAGGCTCGAGAGGATGCGTGCTTACCAAGATGCGGCCAGAGCAAGAGGAAGAAGAAAGAAAACAATCCTCACCCCGGAGAGTCATTGCAAGAGAGATGATTACGTCACCCTCCAGCCGGAGGGACCATAGCGAGACGTCCACATAGGACAGAAAAATGATGAGCGATACCCCCCACCTGGGGGCCCAACGCCGGGTCACCATTTGGAAAAGACCGGGCCACTACCACTAATCCCAGTATTTGCTGCCCGTCTCTGGGATGCTGTTGTCTGTTATGATTTACTGGTGTGCTGCTGCGAGCTGGACTGATCTTGTAGCTTCTGGTAATGGTGGATCGGTGGACAACGCTCTCGCCGTGATTAAATCCCTGGAATGGGTTGAAACGTAGGGCATGTTTCCCTACACCCGGTGCCTCTGTTCCCCCAGGTACCTGGGTGTTAGTTGACTGGTGTGGGTCTCATCTTGGGGGGACAAGATTGAAGGGCCACAGTGGAAATAAGACAGTCCTCGATGACGCACTGACTTTCTTGGGTTATCCTGGGTGGCTAACCCTCTGGGTTAAAAATCTGAACAGAGATGTACAAGAGATGGTACATCTGGAGTACTAGAGGAGGATTGCCTGCCATTCAGAAGCTGCCTTTTTCAGAGATGTAGGGTGTTCCGTGGCTTGGTAGCGTGCTCGGCTCAAATACCGTGGTTCGATTCCCGACCGGATAGAAACATCGGGCATATTTCCTTACACCTGCACCTGTTCACCTAGCAGTAAGTAGCTACCTGGGTATTAGTTGACTGTTGTGAGTAGCATTCTGGGGTGTGGTAGTATACCTCAGATAGGGCTGGACTTCAAAATGAGCTGAGGTAGGATAACAGCTCTTGGCCTGTAAAACTGATGTGTAAAAAAGCGGGGTGTCACCCGCGGGAATTGAGTCAATCTGTTGGGACCAACCACCCCGCCGAAGGCCTGCCAATCCGGGTTGTATTAAGACCCACTGTTGTTAGGTAAGACACATATGCAACAGTTAGATACCTAACTGTTGCATATGTGTCTTACCTAACAACCTGTCGGTATTTTATACCATTTTAATGTTCATTAAGACCCACTGTTGTGGTAGCAGTGGACCAGCCTTCAAGAAGCCGCCTCCCTGCTGCTGTTGGCTTGGTATGGCATCATTCTTTAATGGTTGATACATCGTATGAAATGGATTTAAGGTTTCGTGGCTTTAGGTTATACAGGAACTAATTTTGTTGGTGTAAACTGGTCAGTTTTAATCCAATCGGTTTCTGTGAAATAACTGGAGAATGTCTTTTCTGATCAGAAATAAGTCACAGTGTTTGACATTATTTGGTTATCTTAGGTTAAATCAACTTAATGTTCTTTTATGTTCCTATACCATCTGTCTGCCCTTAAAGCCATTATTAGACATTGAACTGTTACCTGATGTGGAAAATACTGTATATATTTTCCGGAAATACGGTAATTTATAGGTAATTAGATGGCCTATATTGTATTTAACATAAATTATGTTATGGAAAATGGGAAACTGAGCCTGCGCCTGCGCAGAAGGACACTCGCCATTTTTGAATTGGACACTAACGGTAGTGTAAAATGGGAAGAATTGTTCGTGCTCTAGAGGTTAAAATTGGGCTGACACCTCTCCAATAGGAGGCGAAATTGTTGGATGTGCATTCCTGCATAACTTGAGATATCAGGCGACTGGACAAGACAACTCCAGGAACCTCAGATAAGTCTGTTATGTTTAACTCTGGCCAGTGTTATTTTCATAAATTTAGACAGTGAGGTTTTCTGAGTATGTTACAGCTTAATCTCCAGTTAAATTGGTGAGTGATATTAAGATATTCTCTTTCTGTTATGTAAATGTGTGTATATATAATCCTTTTTTAAATTTAATATACAGTCCACAAATTTATATATTTACCAGAATTCCTGGTGATGTATCTTTCATTTATAATTAATAGGACCAGAGCAACTTGTGGATATGACAGTGGTAGGTATCGAAGGGGGACATTTTTTTTGCGACCTAGGTGTCCCAAATTCCTACTTGTCTAACTGATAAATAATAATTATCTTTGTTCATTTACTATTATGTATATAATGATACATTCAGATAAATGTAATTTTCCACACCTGGAGGGTTTCGGGGGTCAACGCCCCCGAGGCTCGGTCTGAGACCAGGCCTCATGGTGGATCAGGGTATACTAAGCTTGCATAAAACTTTACTTTAAATAAAGCTGGCCAGTCTTACTAAGAGAAAAGTTTGGATTCATTTTAGCCTGTGTAAGTTCCAACTTTTTTTTTGTTTCAGAAATTGGAAAAACCGATACTACTTTTCACGTGATAATTTCTGTCACATCTAATTAACTTCGACCTTTCCAGAGGCATCACTCATGCCAAAAAGCTGAAAGAACTATTCCCCGTTACAGTAAAGCAACAGTGAACATTTGAAGACGATCAGATGAGGCTTTCCCAAGTTATAAACGAAATATTCAAAAAATGGGAAAAAATTCACACAACTACTTAAAAGTACCCCCTTTGGGGGTACCTAATTATAATAGTAGCAATAATAATAATAATAATAATAATAATAATAATAATAATAATAATAATAATAACAATAATAATAATAATAATAATACTGTACTGAACTTTTCAGGGTAGTGTCCAGCCTGACAGTGAAACATTAAGTGATACATAATGGGAATTATTAGGTGATATAAGATGGGAAAGCCATGTTTATGGTTTGAAATCTCTTCACTGTCACTTATGTAGTTGATGTTTTACATGACTGTTACAGGATTGTTTGGGTATTCTTCACGGGTTGTAGCATGTAGTCTCCTAAATAACGTCCAATTTCAGATTTATTTTCTCCTTTGTTGTTTGGGACGATATTCTATTCCGAAAAAAAAAATTAACACCGGCCGTCTCCCACCGAGGCTGGGCGACTCGACAAAGAAAAAATGTTTTCATAAAATTTTTCTTTTTATTTAGTAATTTATACTGGTGGAGTTACTAGCCTTTTGCTAGTAATGAAGAAAGTATTCTTTCCACTTTCCCATGGACTTGCGATCAATATAGATAGCAAAAAATTTTCAGGATAAGGAATTTGATATAACTGAGGCAACTGAACAGCTGAAAGAAATTAAAATTTATCTTCTAAACTGCAGGAATGAAGAATTTGAGAACACATTAATAAATACCCATGAACTTTCTGAAGAAATGGACATTTTAACAGAATTAGAACTTGAGCCAATCTTTATTAAGAGGAGATAGCAGTTTGTTTATGCGACGGAATGTAAGTCAATTCAGAATCCCAAGCAAAGTCCAGAGTGAAATTATATTTTTCAACCTTGGATGTGGTAATACAATCAACTGAACAAAGGCTCAAACACATATGTATGAAGCAAATTTTGTTTGGTTTCTTGCATGTTAGTTAGTTAATATGTTTATTATGCATCCCAGACCCATCCTGTGGGCGGTAGTCAAAAGATTACAGAGGTACATAATGGGTTCACGGACTGGACTCCAGAGTTATGATAGGTGAGCAAGTTACAAAGGTAATGAACTCCAGGTAGATCTGGTCACAATCATGACAAGTTACAAAGGTATTTAAAGATTACAGAGGTACATAATGGGTCCTGGGACTGGGACCCCAAAGTTTTGATGCATGACATCTACAATATGCACACAATAACAACGAAGTAACAGAATATTCAGGTGAGGCGAAGCCTCCCTGAATATTGCTTAAAACAGAATATTGCTTAAAACAGAATATTGCTTAAAACTAGAATAAGCTTTACAATATAGTGATGACAAAGACATTGATGCTGCAGATTTGTGTAGTGAATTACAGTTCATTGTGAGACTGATCGAGAAGAGATCACTTAGTCATTTTAAAATTTATACGTGTGTGTCCCAGATGTATTTATCATTTAACTTATTTTCTTGATGTTCACCGTCTGTGTTTAATCATGAGCCATGTATTATACCAAACTTAAAAAAAAAAACAGGGCTTACCCTTTCCATTATCCACAGAGCATAAAACCGCTGAGAAACTTGATGCACAACTTGTCTGCACAAATTCCAGATCAAAGACACGAAAAGTAAAGTTAAAATGGAAGTTTGACTTCTGTCTGTATGTAATAATTTTTTCTGTCCATGTTATCTTTCCCGAGGCATGAGAAAACTGTATTACCTTACATATTAGGTACAGATGGGAGTATCTTTCACTCATATTTCCATATTTTATAGTGTAGATGCTTATCTTATCCTCGGATTAGTTAGGCTTATGAAGGTGTGACCTTGAAGTGATCCGTGACCTTGGGAAGACCGCGTTGACGCTGAGAGTCATTTAACAAGTCCCTTTGGGACTGTGACCTGAGATCCTAGATAATACATGTGCAGTAGTGACATAAACTGTATCTCATTATTTTGTCATTGCATGTATATAATAGTGACGTAGTGATAGCAGGTTATATGGGAAAGATTAATGCAGAACATACGCTTATGTTTATTACGGATTATCTTAAAACAGAGCTAAGTTGAAAGCTGTTTCAATGACACCTTCCTCACAAAGTTATTGTAATAATAATGATGAGTTATTTGCATGAATTAAGAAACAGAGCCACAATTTAAAAATATGTTTTGCGTGGTGTTTCGAGAGTTGCAGCAACACTATAGTAATGGGCCACTGCATTACATTAGCTTACAAACAAGGGTACGGGGGTGGTTAGAACTCATGGCAAGTAAGTTGTAAAACTCCAGGCCAGTGCGTAAGCCACCGGACCAGCTGACTTATGCATTGGCCTGGAGTTTTACGACTCACTTGCTATGGGTTTGGGTTCTAACCCCAGCCACACTGTAGTTTGTTTGTAATCGCGTTACATAGCTTATCGAACCATACTGAGGGGGGCTCGTCTAACATCTTGCCTCGGACGACGGACACCATTCCGGCTGCCCTGTTTAAGGCGTTCATAATCCATCTCCTTTGAATACTTCTTGATAGCTGTGGTGAAATAATAATAAATCAATACCAGTAATACCAACACCACAATGAGAAGAATACACGCGGATTTCACAACAAATGAGATGAAAAACATAAACTTGTCATGCTTCTCCAGTAACTTCATGACTTGAATGCCGATGACAGAAACGATGGCGAGAAACAGAGCCGAGTAGACGTGGTACTGGAGTCCAGTGATCTTCTCGTCAGTGAGGAGGAGACACAAGCTGTCTACCAGGGTCACACGTTCTGGGTCATCTCTGTAGCAGGCACATCGCTGACACCTGCAACCACATTCGTAGTAATATTAGTTACAATTAACAAGAGCAGCAGCAACAGTAGTAGTAGTAGCAGAACGACATTCATGAAGGAGCGTTGAACTCATAAGGACGATGGAATGGTAGAGAAACTTGCTCCAAATTAAGACGAAGGTAACCTTTTTACTGTAACGCTAGAAAGGAAAGTTAAACAAAAAAATTTACTGAGATCTTTGAAAAAAATGACTTTCATGTATACTATATTAAAAGCAACTTGGTATCTTTATTATTATGTTTATAGGAATCGCAAAATGCATTTATAATGAAAGATAATTAGTTCTAAATTCAAGAAAGCGGAGGGGTTGCTCGAGTTCCTCAGATCAGAAGCCCTTCAACAGCATCAAGGCAACTTACCCTTCAAAAACTTACTTAAAGAACAGTGATTCAAAATACTTTGAAAATAAAAAATTAAGGTACCAGATATCCTTTTAGAACTTTGCTGCTCGAGTACAAGCTTTATTAACTGTGATAAAGACTCTATCCTAATATCTGAGTGACCTACCCAAGTGGTACTTGAACGAGGGTTGTGTCTTCCTTCACGATAACCTTGATAGGGTTACTCTCGGCTGCCCTCCTGTAGAAGAGAAAAATATTTACTTTACTAATAATAATATAATATCTTTATTTCTACAAGTACATGTACAGGGTATTACAGACCATAATTGACATCAGTGACATACTGGTGTAAAGAAACATGCCCAATATTTCTACCATCGGCGGGAATCGAACCGGGACGCTCGTCTTGTGAATAGAGAGCTACAAGTATCAGAGAGTGAAAAGGACCTGGGATTAATATAATACTAACAGTGTCGTCAGAAATCCGTACAGCTATAAAGAGCATAACGTCAGTGGCATATGCAAGGTTAACAAACCTCAGAACAGTATTCAGGAACCTGAAAAAAGAATCTTTCAGAACTTTACATGCAATATGAAGCACCACACCTGTGGGCAAGAAGTCTACACCTGTGGGCAAGAAGCCTACACCTGTGGGCAAGAAGCCTACACCTGTGGGCAAGAAGCCTATACCTATGGGCATAAATAATAGGAGTCCTCAGGTTGTTCTTCAACTCTATACATCCTTGGTTAGGCCTCATTTAGATTATGCTGCACAGTTTTGGTCACCTTATTACAGAATGGATATAATTCTCTGGAAAATGTACAAAGGAGGATGACAAAGTTGATCCCATGTATCAGAAACCTTCCCTATGAGGATAGACTAAGGGCCCTGAATCTGCACTCTCTAGAAAGACGTAGAATTAGGGGGGATATGATTGAGGTGTATAAATGGAAGACAGGAATAAATAAAGGGGATGTAAATAGGGTGCTGAAAATATCTAGCCTAGACAGGACTCGCAGCAATGGTTTTAAGTTGGAAAAATTCAGATTCAGGAAGGATATAGGAAAGTACTGGTTTGGTAATAGAGTTGTGGATGAGTGGAACAAACTCCCAAGTACCGTTATAGAGGCCAGAACGTTGTGTAGCTTTAAAAATAGGTTGGATAAATACATGAGTGGATGTGGGTGGGTGTGAGTTAGACCTGATAGCTTGTGGTACCAGGTCGGTTGCCGTGTTTCCTCCCTTAAGTCAATGTGACCTGACCTGACTAGGTTGGGTGCATTGGCTTAAGCCGGTAGGAGACTTGGACCTGCCTCGCATGGGCCAGTAGGCCTTCTGCAGTGTTCCTTCGTTCTTATGTTCTTATGTTCTTATGGGCAAGAAGCCTACACCTGTGGCAAGAAGCCTACACCTGTGGGCAAGAAGCCTACACCTGTGGGCAAGAAGCCTACACCTGTGGGCAAGAAGCCTACACCTGTGGGCAAGAAGCCTACACCTGTGGGCAAGAAGCCTACACCTGTGGGCAAGAAGTCTACACCTGTGGGCAAGAAGCCTACACCTGGTCACGCGTGAAAAGATCCAAATGTTTGCTACCAGGGTAGTAGCAGACCTGAGAGGACCTGAATTTAATGACCCTTGTGGAAAGAACGACAAGGGTAGATATGATTACGACGTACAAAACTTAGAGAAATTGGTAGGGGACATGATAGACTGAAGAACTGAGACACTTATGCAACATATGGGAATCTTTAGTGAAGAAACGTTCCGCCACGTTTCTTCAATTAGTCCAACGCTTCTTCAGTAAAGATTCCCATATGTTGCATTAAGTGTCTCAATTCTTCAACTTATCGGTTTTCAAAACCATTCATCACAAATGACAGACTGTTTGAAATAAAAGGACCAGGAAAAATGGGAAACAGATGTAACTGGAAAGTGAAATGGCTTGGACGAGGCAGAGGTGGAGGCACACACACTCAATATACACAGTGTTGGTTTAGAAAGACACGTAAGCAACCACTATGACGGAAATATAAACACAAATGCAGTATAATGTGATCCTTTAATGACAACGTTTCACCCACGCAGTGGGCTTTTTCAAGTCACACACGGATCTACCTGGGGTTGGAAGGTACGGGAGTATTTATAGTTCAGAACGTTGAGGTCAGGTGAAGATTGCTGCATCAGATGATCTACCGGGTGGGGTTGTAGAGTCTTGGGTAGCTAGGCGGGGATATTGGACAAGTTGTGAGTAGACCTTCTGCAGTGTTCTATGTTCTTATGTGGGATAGCGATGAAGAAGTTTCTTGGCGAGTGGTTCAGCTATGTTATAGAAGCCATTGTTCTGGTTGAAATTGTTGGTTATAGAGATAAACGATGATTCCAGGATTCTTCTGTATTGAGTGTTGTCTTCTGTGGCTATAAGTCTTGAGTTTCTGTAGTTAATTAAATGGTTGTGTGAATTGCGATGTTGTACACAGGCATTCCTTGTAACGTCAGTCCTGCTTGCATATTGGTGTTCTGAAATACGTGTTTGGAGGTCTCTTGATGTTTCGCCCACGTATAATTTGTTGCAGTCATTACAAGGGATTATGTATACCCCTGCAGAGGATGGAGGCTTGTCCTGTCTACTACTGGTGATGTCCTTGATGGTCGTGGTTGTGGAGGTAGATACTGGAATGATGTTTTGGCAAAGATGTTGGAAACATGTTTGGCAATGGAGTTGGTGGGAAGGACTATGTATCTCTTCTCGGCAGTGTCTTCTCTGGGTGTGTTGAAGATGTTTAATGCTCGCCGTCTGCAGTCTCTGATGAAGTGACGAGGATAGTGGAGTTTGGAAAATACTTGTTCAATTATAGTGCATTCTTCCTCAAGGAACTCGTTGCTGCAGATTCTGAGTGCACGCAGGAAGAAGCCTATAATTACACCTCCATCCTCTGCAGGGGTATACATAATCCCTTGTAATGACTGCAACAAATTATACGTGGGCGAAACATCAAGAGACCTCCAAACACGTATTTCAGAACACCAATATGCAAGCAGGACTGACGATACAAGGAATGCCTGTGTACAACATCGCAATTCACACAACCATTTAATTAACTACAGAAACTCAAGACTTATAGCCACAGAAGACAACACTCAATACAGAAGAATCCTGGAATCATCGTTTATCTCTATAACCAACAATTTCAACCAGAACAATGGCTTCTATAACATAGCTGAACCACTCGCCAAGAAACTTCTTCATCGCTATCCCACATAAGAACATAGAACACTGCAGAAGGTCTACTCACAACTTGTCCAATATCCCCGCCTAGCTACCCAAGACTCTACAACCCCACCCGGTAGATCATCTGATGCAGCAATCTTCACCTGACCTCAACGTTCTGAACTATAAATACTCCCGTACCTTCCAACCCCAGGTAGATCCGTGTGTGACTTGAAAAAGCCCACTGCGTGGGTGAAACGTTGTCATTAAAGGATCACATTATACTGCATTTGTGTTTATATTTCCATTGTGTCGGTATTTTATACCATTTATTTCAACCACTATGACATATTAGAAAACATTTCGGTCCTGGGACTTTGATCACTTCTAACATACAGAGGTAGAAAGACATTATATATAGGCGGAGAGTGAAGTGTGAGTGACGCATAGTGACCTGAAGTGTGAGGTGTGAGTGACGCACGGTGACCTGAAGAATGTCATGTTGGGATGAGGACGGGAAGACGCTGAAATAAGAACATAAGAACGAAGGAACACTGCAGAAGGCCTATTGGCCCATGCGAGGCAGGTCCACGTCTCCTACCGGCTTAAGCCAATGCACTCAACCTAGTCAGGTCAGGTCACATTAAGGGAGGAACACGGCAACCGACCTGGTAGCACAAGCTATCAGGTCTAACTCACACCCACCCACATCTACTCATGTATTTATCCAACCTATTTTTAAAGCTACACAACGTTCTGGCCTCTATAACGGTACTTGGGAGTTTGTTCCACTCATCCACAACTCTATTACCAAACCAGTACTTTCCTATATCCTTCCTGAATCTGAATTTTTTCAACTTAAAACCATTGCTGCGAGTCCTGTCTAGGCTAGATATTTTCAGCACACTATTTACATCCCCTTTATTTATTCCTGTCTTCCATTTATACACCTCAATCATATCCCCCCTAATTCTACGTCTTTCTAGAGAGTGCAGTTTCAGGGCCCTTAGTCCTATCCTCATAGGGAAGGTTTCTGATACAATGGATCAACTTTGTCATCCTCCTTTGTACATTTTCCAGAGAATTTATATCCATTCTGTAATACGGTGACCAAAACTGTGCAACATAATCTAAATGAGGCCTAACCAAGAATGTGTAGAGTTGAAGAACAACCTGAGGACTCCTATTAATTATGTTTCTTGATATGAAGCCAAGGATTCTATTAGCTTTATTGCGAACACTTATGCACTGTTGTCTTGGTTTCAGATTACTGCTAACCAGAACTCCTAAATCTTTTTCGCAATCCGTAATATTAAGATCTACATTATTTAGTTTATATGTGGCATGGTTATTGTCCTGTCCAACATTTAGAACTTTGCATTTGTCTATATTAAACTGCATCTGCCACTTCTCCGACCACTGCATCAGTCTATTCAAATCTTCCTGGAGTGCTCGAATGTCCTCGTCAGAATGAATTCGACGGCCTATTTTGGTGTCATCGGCAAACTTGCCGATGTCGCTCTTTATGCCCTCATCTATGTCGTTTATGTAGATTGTGAACAGCAGGGGGCCCAACACTGACCCCTGTGGAACACCGCTCGTGACGCTTCCCCACTCTGATTTCTCCCCATTTATGCAAACTCTCTGCTGCTTATTTGTCAACCATGCCTCTATCCAGGAAAAAATTTCTCCTCCTATTCCATGTGCTTTAATTTTCCTCAATAGTCTCTGATGTGGACCCTGTCAAAAGCCTTACTGAAGTCCATATACACAATATCATATTCATTACATGATCTACCTCCTCAAATACCTTAGTGAAAAAAGTTAATAAATTCGTAAGGCAGGAACGCCCCTTTGTAAAACCATGCTGAGATTCGTTGATTAATTTATGCTTTTCAAGGTGGCTACGAACTGCCTCGGCAATTATGATTCCATAAATTTTCCCCATTATGGAGGTTAGGCTTATTGGTCTATAGTTTTTGAAAATAGGTATCACATTTGCCATTTTCCACTTATCTGGCACCATGCCAGTTTGTAGTGATATGTTGAAAAGATTAGCCAAAGGTGTGCTAAGCTCCTCTTTACATTCCGTTAGAACCCTTGCATACAGTTCATCAGGGCCTGGGGATTTGTTAGGTTTTAATTTATCTATTTGCCTAAGGACCATGTCACTTGTGACCCTAATCGTGCACAGTTTATTATCGTCCTGTTCTACATAATTTATCATTACTGGAATATCGCTGGTATCCTCCTGTGTAAAAACTGAGAGGAAGTATGTGACTCCTGTGTTGTTGGGTTGGTGGTGCTTAAGTATCATGTATGCTAATGTTTTTCAAATTTTGTGGTTTCCAGTGTTACGTTCTATAGTGTCGGTGCCCCTTAGGGAATGTTCCTTGATGTTGGTGAGGGGCTCGTGATTTAGGGAATTCGATCTGTGCTCCAGTTCCCCGAATTAAGCCTGAATGCCTTCCACATCCCCCCCCAAGCGCTGTATAATCCTACGGGTTTAGCGTTTCCCCTTGATTATAATAATAATATAGTGTCGGTGACGGCGATTAGTGAGGCTTCTAGGCACCGTCGGCGTCTGAGGTCTAGTTTGGTGAGAACGAGTTGTGCCTCATTCCAGTTCATCAAATGCCCCGTGGAGTCTCTGTGGAGGACACAGGCGTACCTTACATCGTCTCTGTTAGAGGCATTTTGATGCTCATTCAGGCGGACTGCGAGATCTCTGCCTGTCTCGCCTACATATTGTAAGGTGTGGGGCTGCGTTTCGTAGTGAGGTCTTTGATTGATGATGTGTTTATGGTGGAAACATTGATGTTACTCATAGCAAGTGCCCGGCGAGTATGAACTGCTTAAGGGGCTGTTCCATGGGCCGTTTGTTGAGGATAGCTTGCGCCTTGAGTCTGCAATCTCGGATGAAGAAAGATGGGAAACTGAAGACGTGTAAAAGTCTTGTGTTATGGAAGTACATTCTTCTTCAAGAAAACAAGGCCTGGAATGCAAGAGCCTAAAGAAAAGCCAATGAGGACTCCTCTTTAGTGCGGGGGTCTTCTACAATACTTAAGGACCACCAACCCAACAACACGGGAGTCACAGTTTTCATCGTCTACCCGTCTTCATCCCAACATAATTTTTCAGGTCACCATGCCACTCACACCCACTCTCCACCTCTGTATGTTGAAGTGATCAAGGCCCCCGGGACCGAAACTTTTTTCTTATAAATAGCACAGTTTTTGCTTACGGTTTTTTCAAAACCCAAATTTTGGGTATTTTATTACCAAGGTTTATACCAAACCAGCTTTTATAAGAATATATTCCTGAGGGGGCCAGAAATCAATGATCCCCCCAAAAAAGTTTTGGGATGCAAGCCAGGAACTAAAACCGTGCCCCCAAACAACTCAATTTAGGGCGGGGTGCAACACACACACAACACACCACAACCATATACAACGGGCCTGTGCAAATTGAAATGTGCCTAGGACAAAAAGGAACTAAAAACACACACATACACAATAGGGGGCCCAAAAGCTTCTTTACCCCTACAAGTACAATTAAAACCCGAAAACTAAATGTGAGTGGATTTCAAAACCTTGATATTTTGGATCAAAAAAAAATCAAGTTTAGGATAAGACTCCTCTGTTACAGGAGCTAATACGAGCAGGGCCCAAATTATCGTTACTGAACGAGCACATTTAAGTATCAGGGAAAGATACAGCAGGCCATATCAAGAACTTAACGAGCAGGTTCAAGTATCAGGGACTGATAACCAGGTTTTAGTATAGGGGCTGATTACGTGCAGATTTAAGTATCAGGGATAGGACTCGTATAGATAAAGGAACTGATACAAGATGGTTCGAGTATCATGAATAGGACTCCTCTGAATAAAGGGATTGATATGAGCAGGCTCAAGCATCAGGGACTGATATTAGCAGGCTCAAGCATCAGGGACTGATACTAGCAGGCTCAAGCATCAGGGACTGATACTAGCAGGCTCAAGTAACAAGGACAGGACTTCTATAGACGAAGGAAGTGTAAAAACTATCGTTTCCTCAGAAATCATTCCATGGAAATAATACAAGCCAGTTATCCCAATATTCAGTCCCGGGACCAATACTGCTCTTAATTAATATTAACGACCTTACTCAGGGGAATTAAATTCTACATGTCAACGTTTACAGATGATACAAATTGTATGTCAAATAAACACCAGTTGACTGTAAAAGAAAATGCTATGTAACACAGACTCAAAAACCCAGTAAGTGATTTTTTAGCTGAAGAGGAAAAAAATAAAGTTGGATGTATTGCCAGAAGCTCGAAAAATTATTTTTATTAACATCATTTGTGGATCGCTGGTAAACGAATTGAATTAACAAAGCTCAGGAAAGAACAGTTTTAAGATAACATACATTATGTCTGACTTTTTTTTTAGGTTATCATAGGTTCTCTACACATATGCTACTATGTATGATAATCTATGTAATTATCTGTGTATACCTGAATAAACTTACTTAATCTGTCCCTGACAACCATCTGTCCCAACCCTCAAATTTTGTATCTTAATATCGTAATTTTTTGTCTCTTATATTTTAATATAGTATTATTTTCAGTCACTATGATAATGAGAAAAGAATTGAAATAATGAACACAAAATAAATAACCTGTTATTAAGTCTGATAACCATTTCTGTGCAGATGACCAGTTACTTTACACTGGAAATTAAATCTAATTATTGTACTTCTATGTACAGTTTTTTCAGATATTTCTTCTTTAAAAAGAAATCTGAGGGCGTTCAACACAGCGATTTTTTTGAAGATGCGTGCGGTTCTCTCCTCTCCTTCAAAATATATATATAGGCTTCTCCTCCTCGTCAAGACCAACAAAAGCTGGATATAAAGTGGCTCTGGTTAGTGTTGGTTCAGTGATGTTTGTCACTGCAGATGTTTGTGGGTGTCAACGGTTTAGTGTTCCTCTTGCCTCTGTCCGAGCGCATATATTGCTTTATAGTTGGTGTTTAGATATTTCCCATTATTTTTTGATGTTTCTAGAAGCTAGGTTAGAGTATCTGCACTCGAGATCACCACTGACAGCCGAGTAAGTGTGCTGAACTGACAGCCTCTCAGCACCCAGCGTCAGGAAGTTCAGTTGCAACTTACTCGCATATTCACTCAACAACTTCAGTTAGACAGCGATACACACCATTCTACAGCACTATATAAATCATGGTATCAATATGATTAGTTTATATTGTGTTATGTATATTATGTATTGAAACGATATTAAGGAACAGAGAGAAATTTAACTTACGCGAAGATTAGCAACTCTTAATTTAGTCATTTTGGGCAGCACTGAAAATAATGCAACCCACTGTATTCACGTTCAGGACAGTGTTGCCACGTACATGTTGATCCTGTACATAACAAAGATCATGCACATGGTGGTGCTTGTGTACATCATGGTGCTCATGTAGGGTAATGGGAATCATGTTCATGTTAGTCATGTACAGTAAATGTTAGTCGTGTACATCAATGGTGGTCATGTACATTATGTAAATTATGCACATCGGGGTGGCCATGTACATCATGGTCATGTACATCGTGTTAGTCATGAGCATCATGATTGTCATGTATATAAATTTTGTCTTGTGCATCAGGCTGATCGTGTACAACATGGTGATATGAGCATCATGGTGGACATGTACATCATGGTGGACATGTAATCACGGTGGACATGTACATCATGGCAGACATGTACATCACGGTGGAAAATGTACATCATGGTGGACATGTACATCATGGTGGACATGTACATCACGGTGGACATGTACATCATGGCAGACAATGTACATCACGGTGGACATGTACATCATGGTGGGACATGTCCCATCATGGTGGACATGTACATCATGGTGGACATGTACATCATGGTGGACATGTACATCATGGCAGACATGTACATCACGGTGGACATGTACATCATGGTGGACATGTTCATCACGGTGGACATGTTCATCACGGTGGACATGTACATCACGGTGGGCATGTACATCATGGTGGACATGTACATCATGGGGGACATGTACATAAATGGTGGACATGTACATCATGGTGACATGTACATCATGGTGGGACATGTACATCATGGTGGACATGTACATCATGGTGGACATGTACATCACGGTGGACATGTACATCATGGTGGACATGTACATCACGGTGGACATGTACATCATGGTGGACATGTTTCATCACGGTGGACATGTTCATCACGAGGGACATGTTTCATCACGGTGGCATGTACATCATGGTAGACATGGTACATCATGGTGGACATGTACATCATGGTGGACATGTACATCATGGTGGACATGTACATCATGGTGGACGTGTACATCACGGTGGACATGTACATCATGGTGGACATGTACATCAGGTGGACATGTACATCATGGTGGACATGTTCATCACGGTGGACATGTTCATCACGGTGACATGTTCATCACGGTGGACATGTACATCACGGTGGGCATGTACATCATGGTAGACATGTACATCATGGTGGACATGTACATCATGTGGACATGTACATAAATGGTGGACATGTACATCATGGTGGACATGTACATCACGGTGGACATGTACATCATGGTGGACATGTACATCATGGTGGACATGTACATCACGGTGGACATGTACATCATGGTGGACATGTACATCACGGTGGACATGTACATCATGGTGGACATGTTCATCACGGTGGACATGTACATCATGGTGGACATGTACATCACGGTGGACAGTACATCATGGTGGACATGTTCATCACAGTGGACATGTTCATCACGGTGGACATGTACATCACGGTGGGCATGTACATCATGGTGGACATGTACATCATGGTGGACATGTACATCATGGTGGACATTACATCATGGTGGACATGTACATCATGGTGGACATGTACATCATGGTGGACATGTACATCATGGTGGACATGTACATCATGGTGGACATGTACATCATGGTGGACATGTTCATCACGGTGGACATGTTCATCACGGTGGACATGTTCATCACTGTGGGCATGTACATCATGGTAGACATGTACATCATGGTGGACATGTACATCATGGTGGACATGTACATCATGGTGGACATGTACATCATGGTGGACATGTACATCACGGTGGACATGTACATCATGGTGGACATGTTCATCACGGTGGACATGTTCATCACGGTGGACATGTTCATCACGGTGGACATGTACATCACGGTGGGCATGTACATCATGGTAGACATATACATCATGGTGGACATGTACATCATGGTGGACATGTACATCATGGTGGACATGTACATCACGGTGGACATGTACATCATGGTGGACATGTACATCATGGCGGACATGTACATCACGGTGGACATGTACATCATGGTGGACATGTACATCATGGTGGACATGTACATCATGGTGGACATGTACATCACGGTGGACATGTACATCATGGTGGACATGTACATCATGGTGGACATGTACATCACGGTGGACATGTACATCATGGTGGACATGTACATCATGGTGGACATGTACATCATGGTGGACATGTACATCATGGTGGACATGTACATCATGGTGGACATGTACATCATGGTGGACATGTACATCATGGTGGAAATGCACATATCGATATGTACACTATAATAAGTCATGTTCATTATGGTGATCATCAGCATAATGGTGATTATGTACATTTGTACATGATCATATATCATGGTAATACTGTACATAATCACACGCATACTCATACTTCGTGCGCATATATACACCGAGAGGTGTATATATGCCTCTTAATTGAATATACTTTAGATGCACAGCTCTTAAGTGAATATACTTTGAGAAGTGTATATTTCTCAGTGTAGATACCCTGAGAGGTTTACCTGGAGAGGGTTTCGGGGGTCAACGCCCCCGCGGCCCGGTCTGAGACCAGGCCTCATGGTGGATCAGGGTCTAATCAACCAGGCTGTTAGTGCTGGCCGCATGCAAGCTGACGTACGAACCACAGCCCGGAGTCTATTAGTAATCCCCCTTATGTATGCTGGGAGGCAGTTGAACAGTCGTTGGCCCCGGACACTTATTCGATATATAAACTGATCTTAAAAATCTCAGTGTATATATAAAGCATGGCGTATATTCACTGAGTGGTGCATGTCCCCTAGCATATATATATATATATATATATATATATATATAATATATATATATATATATATATATATATATATATATATATATAATTTGTAACCACGAACGAGTGGTATTTAATCAACAACACTGCGACTAGCCGAGGGCTCGAACCCATGTTGTTTTGGCCCACCTCACAGTGAGCGAAAATCACATGACACTCTAACCCACAGCACCACTCAATTCTACACGAATCACACACCCAGCAGAGCTAGGTGTTTTACCGTGATGCGAGGACATACAGTGGTGTGGGTACCTCTGAGCTAATTTCATTCTACTCCCTGTTTGGTGTACTAGCCTCCACGAGCAGTATATATATTATTGTGACTACGAATGAGGGATATTTAATCAAAAACAACACTGACTAGCCAAGGACTCGAACCCATGTCATTTTGGCTTGCCTAATGGTGAGCAAAACTCACATGATGCTCTACCCCACAGAACCACTCAACCCTACAAGAATCACACACCCAGCAGCAGTAGGTGTTTTACCATGATCTGAGGACATACGGTGGTGTGGGTGCCTCTGAGCTAATTTCATATTACACCCCGTTTGGTGTGGCGGGCCAAAACAACATGTGTTCAATTCCTTGGCTATTGGCAGCGTTGTTATTGATTAAATACCACTCATTCGTAGTCACAATAATATATATACTGCTCGTGGAAGCTAGTACACCAAACGGGTAGTAGAATGAAATTAGCTCAGAGGTACCCACACTGCCGTATGTCCTCAGATCAAGGTAAAACACCTAGCTCTGCTGGGTGCATGATTCTTGTAGGATTTGGTGGTCCTGTGGGTTAGAGCGTCATGTGATTTTCGCTCACCATGAGGAGGGCCAAAACGACATGGGTTCGAGTCCTCGGCTAGTCGCAGTGTTGTTATTGATTAAATACCACTCGTTCGTGGTTACCGGGGATTGAACCGTGGACACTCAATATGTAAGCTGAGTGCACTGCCAACCGAGCTATGGGACACTGTGAAAGGAATCAAGGCAATTCTTTGTCAAATACAAAGTGATACAAAAGTATCTCAACTCTATGAATTGTAACATTCAAAATGACTAATAGTATATTCTTTCTAATGATGTAACAGTGTTCAGTGAGGTCTGACATAGACCCATTGTGACCTCTGTAAGCCTGTGATTTGTGCTGCCACTCACAGGATGAGTTGCGGGTGCACAGCTAGCCGCTCAAGCCACATTACTAAAACGTAAGTATAAATAAGTAAAGAAGAGTAAGTTTATTTAGGTACAGGTACACACAAGTACAGTTACACAAATTTAGGTGACAACAAAATCATACAAAATAACATGTGTAAATTACCTAGGATAAAACACCCCCCCCCCCCCCAAAAAAAAAAAAAAAAAAAAAAAGACAAAGTGACTTTATTTCCACTGTTTTTTTTAATAAAGTGGAACCTCGATACTTGAACAGCTCTGTACTCGAACAATTCGGTA